GTATTGTGCTCACCTATCCAAGAACACCGGTTCCATATGGTGTTTCCCAGCCAATTTGGCTTGATCAATAATAACTTATCTACAGTTCTAATACAAATACCTTCTCAATTTTTTTTTAATGAAAATTTTCATCAGGATGATTACTATCTATTCATGTGATTTTCAATTCAAATCGAAGTCATTTTGGCAAAAAAATGCGATAAACAGTGAAATGATTCTATAATTTTTCACAGGCAAAAAGTGATGATTTTTGAGAAGCTGGTTTTTTCTCCAACTTACCAACTGATTTTTGGAAAACTGATGATGTATTCCAATAAAGCTTGTTCGAATGTACAAACTAACATCGACTCAATTGTTTTGAGGAACTCAAAAGGGCCGAGCTGAGATAAACTAATGAGCGCAGTCATGTGATTCTATAATTTTTCACACCATTGTATAATAATCAAAGAACAAAGTAGACTTTTTTCTTTTTCTGATATCTCATCCATTATCGTTGCCATTATTTCGAAGTACAATCCCTTGGATTTAATTCATCTGAAAGCAAAATACTGCACGTTTTCTATTTTCTAGATTAATTCTTATAAGCATACGTTCAATCTAGATAAACTGGCAATCTATCGAATTCCTAAAATCCTACATATGTATGAGTGAATTGTCAACGAAAACAATGAAACTATTCAAAATATTCTTAGAGACCAGCAAGAACTTAGGGTGATGTGGAAAACCTTTACTGATACGTTCAATAAGTCCCAAACTAACCATCAATGAAAGCTTTACAATAGAGAAAAACCTTACCCAGTGTTTCAACGTCCCACAATCGTTGCGTTCGTGGTGTCCTGGTGTCCTTCGCGTCTTGATGTCTTTGCTATTTTGAGACACCCCGATGTCCTTAGATGTCTCAATGTCTTTGGTGCTTTCATGCATTCCGTCGTTCTCGATGTTTTTAGGTGTCCTCAGTGTCTTGTTGCTTCAGTGTTCTAATGTCTTCGATATTCTCAGTGTCTTCGTGTTTCAGTGTCTCTGGTGCTTTTACTACTAAGTGTCTTCGTTGTTCTCGATTTCTCCACGTTTCAGTGTTTCTGGTGTTTTCACTGCATAGTGTCTACGGTGTCCTAATGTCTTTATTGTTTTTGGTGTCGATGATGTCTCGGTGCCTACGGTGTCTTTAATACTTTGGTGTGTTGATGTTTCTGGGGTTCTATTGTCCTCGGTGTTCTTAGTGTCCACGGTGTTCCGATGTCCTAGTGTCCTCAGGTTACTATATAAAGCTATGTTATCCTCAGATTCTATTCATTCATTCAGTCGACCCAACATCGATCACTACAACATATCTTCTTATTACAACACTCCATTCATCCACTCGATCCAACAGCTATCACTATAACAAACTCTTATACCAATACATATCATCTTTGGTAAATATTTCGTTTAGTCAGGGTTTCATTCTTTTTTGGACACTACTCCTTTGCATTCTTT